CGCTCGGCTCGATGTGCCCTCAGTTCGGATTACAAAAAAAACAGGATATCTCAGTATGTCATCTTCAGGCTATGTAGCTATTCCTCGCTGCTCAGTGATTTTTGATGGCACCAACTATGCTGAGTTTATGGGCTTCATGCGTATCCATATGCGCGGCCTTCTGTTATGGAGCGTTCTCTCTGGCGAGGTACCATGTCCGCCCTGCCCTGTTGCCCCGGTTGCTCCTCTTCCCCCAGTGCCCCCGGTGCTTGCTGCTGAGCCTTCTCAGGCTGATAGGGATGCAGCCAAGGCTCTTGATGACGCTGCAGTTGAAGCCTATGATCAGCAGGTATCCACATATTCTGATGATCTTTCTGTCTACCGGGATGATCTGTCTGCTTACACTCAGTGGTGCAATGATGATGCTCGTGCTGCTGCTATTCTCACCGCAAGTGTCCTCCCTCAGTTTGCCTCGGAGTTCATGGGCCTCAGCACTGTTGCAGCGATGTGGTCCTACCTTTGTCAGCGCTATCAGCCCTCTGGTGATGCTCTATACCTCTCTGTAGTGCGTTAGGAGCATGCTCTTCAGCAGGGTGACTCGTCTGTTGATGAATTCTACTCACAGTGCTCTACCATCTAGCGTCAGCTTGACTCACTACGGACAGTTGTTTGTGGCACTTGCCGTTGTTGCCAGACTACGAGGTCTGACTTGGAGTTTCAGAGGGTCCATGAGTTCTTAGCTCGTCTCCGCTCTGAGTTTGAGCCTCGTCGTGCTCATTTTCTTGCTCATGGTCGTGTTCCTATCTCAGAGATACTTGGTGAGCGTCGTGCCGAGGAGACCCGCCTTCGCTCTGCTGGGTTGCTTCTGGTTTCGTCAGTTCTGGCTGCCCGGGCTCCTGTGTCGTATGCTCGCCTCACTGCTCCGCCTCTCCTGCCTACTCCTCCAGGGGGGGTGGGGGGGTGAGCCATGCTCCTTATGACGAGAAGGGCACGTCGCGCCGTGACACCGTCTGTGGTTACTACTCCCGGTCAGGTCACCCAGAGTCTGATTGTCGTCAGAAGAAGCGAGACCAGAGGCGCTCCTCCTCCAGCGGGCCTCCTGTGTCTTCCTCGACTCCGTCACTCACCGATCAGGACATTGTTCGCCTCAAGCGTCTTCTTGCTTCCTCAGGCTCCTCGTTGACTGGCTCTGCTGCTGCTGTGACTGCATCCTCTTCCTCACCATCACACACATCTACACAGTCAGGTACATCTTTGTGGGTTCTAGATTCTGGAGCTTCCTTTCATATGTCTTCTGGTTCTTCCGTGTTGTCTTCTCTCCGACCTCTTGATTCGCCTGTTAATGTTTTTACTGCCGATGGCACATCTCTTCCTGTTGCTAGTCGTGGTATTCTTTCCACTCCATCTTTTTCTGTTCCGAGTGTTTCACATGTTCCTCGCCTTAACATGAATCTTTTTTCCACTACCCAACTTACTGATTCTGGTTGTCGTGTCATTCTTGATACCGACTCTTGCTCCATTCAGGATCATCGCACCAAGGTTTTGGTTGGTGTTGGCCCTCGGTGCCGTGAGTTAGAGGGCCTTTGGGAGGTTGACTGGCTTTGTGTTCCTTCCGCTGCCACCACTTCTGCCAGCTCTCATGCTCTTGCTGCCTCTTCGTCTGCGTCCTTCCAGCAGTGGCATCATCGACTTGGTCACATCTGTGGCTCTCGCTTGTCTTCCTTAGTTCGTCAGGGCCTTTTAGGGTATGTATCTGGAGATGTCTCCTGACATTGTAATGGTTGCAGACTTGGCAAACAGACTCAATTACCTTATCCTATTAGTGAGTCTGTATCCCAGCGTCCTTTTGACTTAGTTCATTCTGATGTCTGGGGTCCTGCTCCCTTTGATTCGAAAGGTGGTCATCGCTACTATGTTTTGTTTATCGATGATTTCTCTCGCTACACTTGGCTCTACTTCATGAAATCTCGTAGTGAGGTTCTCCCTATCTACAAACATTTTGCCGCCATGGTTCACACACAGTTTTCCATGCCCATTCGTATTTTTCGTGCTGACTCCGCTGGAGAGTATATCTCTCAGCTGTTGCGTGGTTTTCTCGTGGAACAGGGTACTCTTGATCTGTTCTCCTGTCCTGGTGCTCATGCTCAGAATGGCGTTGCCGAGCGAAAGCATCGTCATTTGCTTGAGACGGATCGTGCACTGATGATTGCTGCTTCCCTTCCACCCCATTTTTGGGCTGAGGCTGTTTCCGCATCCACCTATCTCATCAACATTCAGCCATCGACTGCTCTGCAGGGTGGCATTCCTATGGAGTGTCTCACTGGTCGCTCTCCTGACTACTCAACTCTTCGTATGTTTGGATGCGTCTGCTATGTTCTTCTTGCCCCCGAGAACGCACCAAACTGACTGCTCAGTCGATTGAGTGTGTTTTCCTTGGCTACAGTGATGAGCACAAGGGCTATCGCTGTTGGGATCCAGTGGGTCGTCGCTTGCGCATCTCGCGTGATGTGACTTTTGACGAGTCTCGTTCTTACTACCCACGTTCTTCTTCCTCGAGTTTCTCTATGGACGACCTTTCTTTCCTTCTCCTTCCTGATACACCCTGCTATGTGCCTCATGTGTCACCTCTTCCTCCGGCGCCTCTCCTTCCTTCTCCTTCACCACCGACCCTGTCTTCTCCATCCTCCTCCTCCACCTCTCCCCCATCCTCTCCAGTCCGTCACCCTCTCTCACCGTTTCCCCTCTCCACTATACTCGTCGATCTCGTATTGAGGATGTCTCCTCTGACGAGCCTTCCACCTCTGGTGCACCTCCTCTCACGCCTCCCCCGATTCACAATCTCCGTGCTCGGCCTTGCCCCCCGCCTGAGTGCTACTCCCTGATCGGTACGGTGTCTCTATTATGACTGAGACCACTTCCTATCGCACTGCCATGACTCAACCTGAATGGCAACTTGCGATGGCCGAAGAGCTTGCGTCCCTTGAGCGCTCTGGCACATGGGATCTAGTTACCCTCCCTTCCGGTGTTCGTCCCATCACCTGCAAGTGGGTCTACAAACTTAAAACTCGCTCCGATGGTTCTCTTGAGCGCTACAAAGCTCGTCTTGTGGCTCGTGGTTTTCAGTAGGAGCAGGGGCGCGATTATGATGAGACATTCGCTCCTGTGGCCCACATGACCACTATCCGCACTCTTCTTGATGTGGCTTCTGTTCGTCAGTGGTCCATCTCTCAACTTGATGTTCAGAACGCTTTTCTCAATGGCGAGTTGCGTGAGGAGGTTTATATGCAGCCACCACCGGGGTACTATGCTCCTGATGGTATGGTCTGTCGACTTCGCTGCTCCCTATATGGTCTTAAGTAGGCCCCTCGCGCCTGGTTTGAGCGCTTCGCCGCTGTGGTGACTGCCGCTGGTTTCTTGCCTAGTGACCATGATCCTGTGTTGTTTGTTCACACGTCTCCTCGTGGTCAGACTCTTCTCCTTCTGTATGTTGAGGACATGATCATCACTGGTGATGACTCTGATTACATTGCCTTTGCTAAGGCTCGCCTTCGCGAGCACTTTCTCATGTCTGATCTTGGTCCACTTCGCTATTTTCTTGGTATTGAGATCTCCTCGACCTCTGATGGCTTTTACATCTCCCAAGAAAAATATATTCAGGACCTTCTTGCTCGCGCTGCTCTCGGTGATGAGCGCACAGTTGTGACTCCCATGGAGCTCAACATTCAGCTTTGTGCCTTTGATGGTGACCCTCTCCCTAATCCCACTCGCTATCGTCACCTTGTAGGCAGTCTTGTCTATCTTGCTGTTACGCATCCTGACATCTCCTATCTTGTCCACATTCTGAGTCAGTTCGTTTCAGCCCCCACCTCTGTCCACTATAGTCATCTCCTCCGTGTTCTACGATATCTTCGTGGCACGATCTCTCAGCGCCTTTTCTTTCCCGCTCCAGCTCTCTTGAGCTCCAGGCCTACTCTGATGCTACCTGGGCTAGTGATCCCTCTGATCGACGCTCGCTGTCTGCTTATTGTGTCTTTCTTGGTGGCTCTCTTATTGCCTTGAAGACCAAGAAACAGACTGCAGTTTCTCGCTCGAGCACATAGGCTGAGTTGCGAGCCATGGCTATGCTGACGACTGAGGTGATCTGGTTACGGTGGCTACTTGAGGATTTTGGTGTGTCTGCTACTACCTCGACTCCCTTATTGTCAGACAGTACTGGCGCTATCAGTATTGCGCGTGACCCGGTGAAGCATGAGCTCACCAAGCACATCGGTGTGGATGCCCACTTTGTGCGTGCTGCTGTGCAGGATAAGACTCTCGCTCTTCATTATGTGTCATCTAAGTTATAGTTGGCGGACTTCTTCACGAAGGCTCAGACTCGCGTTCAGCATAGTTTTCTTCTCTCCAAACTCAGTGTTGTTGATCCACCATGAGTTTGAGGGGGGGTGTTATATGTGTATAACCCCTTTTCGGCTTATCCCCATTGTATAAGGGGTCTCTTGCACTTTACCCAACACATGTATATGTATTGGCCTTTGGCCCTCTAGTGAATGTAGTTTCTCATTCCTAACACTCGTAATCTGAGGCTTTATACATTTTACAAATCATGCTTAGATTCCCTTCATTTTCCCCATTTTGGACAGGTTTCCTTTAGGTTATTGATGTTCAGGCCCTTTATTGGGGAGGTTATTGTTGGGAAAATCAGTGGATATGATGAGGAGGGTTTACAAGGTGACTTTGTTATTTTCTCATTGACTTTTTGTTTGCTAATTGATTTTCAACCTTTTGTAACCCCTTGCTTGAATTCATGTGTACTTTTCGTGTCGCGTCTTCAATTTTCATAACATCTTGCACTGCAGGCACAATTTTCATAATTTTATCATGATACATCCATTCCAATGCAAAAAAATAGCATATCTGATATCTGACTATTTTCCCACTTACATGTCCACACAATTACTTTTGAGAAGGACCTTATTTGTTTTCTTCCGGGTATGTGGAAATTGGTCGCACTTCATCCTGATCTATAAGCTCGAATGCTGATTTGGCATGATGAGACGCACATGGCCCTTCTGTTGCAGGCATATTACAGTTTCGTATAGAGTTTTCCTCATGTCATCAGTGAATTCTAACCCCAAGTCCTTCAGTCTTTGATTGGAGAATCTGTACGGGCGCACCATGGGCTTGTCGTTCCCTTCGCACCTGTAGAGGTAGTAAATGGTAGTCGGTACATATATAGATATGGACGCGCATTTGGGCAGAAGGTTGACAATTCATTCAGGGTAAACAAAGCGTACTTGGAAGTGATAGGATAGTGTGGAAAAAGACCCCTGAGCAACCGGAGGAGGCAACTGCGGTGTAGCGCCGTGCCGAAGCAGACATAGCGGCCGCGGGCGCGGTGGTGCTCGTAGACGAGGAGATGGGCACGTACGACATCACGGATGTCGGCATAGATGGCGACGGCGTTGGGGTAGGCCTTCTTTGTGCCCATCAGGTACCTTGCGACGTAGTAGTTGCTGCCGTTTAGAGACCGCTGCAGCATGGGACCGATGGTCATTGGCGGCACCACAACCGCCAGCTGCAGCCCCCTCCTGGCTGCCTCCTCCGTTGCTGCCTTATCTGCCATCATCTTGGCACAACAATAATAATTCTGCAAATGATATTATTAATTTCCTAAGATGACAGACACTGTTTTGTATTATGTCTGGTAATTAGCTTCGGGCCATTGCTTGTGAGCTCCTTATATCCTTGATAAATTGGCCTTTTCCTATAGGTTTGGGAGGTTTTGGGTTTGACCCCGACCGCCTGTATTTTATTTTATTTTTTGTTAAAAAACTCTGACTTTCGGGTGCCACAAATTAATTGTTATCAATGTGCAAAAACAAACTATTTAATTGGGAACAAACACTGCACCTGCGGAAAGATATGCGTATCAAGTTTCTAAGACGCTATGATAGCCTTTTAGTATCACTTTCATTTGGATATTATACCATCTTATTTCAGTCAGTTTAGGAAACTCTAATTCTCCAGTTAGGAATCTGTCGAAAAGCCATAGGATAATGGATCGGAGGTGGCTGTTGGAATCTATCCCAGCTGATTGCTCGTCATTATTATGATCTGTGATTGATCCAAATACTGTTGTTTTTCACCTTAATTTACCCTTTTGTACTAAAATATAAAATAGTATTGCAATGAATGTTAAGTCGCTCCAGAAATATCATACGCCTGTCTGTTTGCAGAATTCATAGTCGCTCCAGCATGTCTCGTCTAGCACGGTGTCTGGGCTTCTGTTGGGGTTCATGTGCACCGCGCCATACGAAGAAGTGAAAACAAGGCGGTGCACGCCCATGTCCGCCGCAGCGTTCACCACGTTTCTGGTCCCCTTCACTGCGACCGGCATGAGTTCCTACACAGAGCCAGTCGGCCGAGAACAGGAAGCTGCCATTAGCAAGCAAGCATTTCTTCCTTGCACCGCACATGGTAATTAAGTATATATGCTGCAAAAGTGTAGCCAGTGGACTGACAACATCGTTAGACACTGGAGAGGCGACATGGAAGACGCCATGGCAGCCATCGAAGGCGGCACGGAGGCTGTCGCAGTCCAGGACATCGGCACGGTGCAAGGATAGCCTCTCATTGGCCCCCTCCAAGGTTTGCAAGTGGACGTTCTTGCGGTCCGCTTCACATGATTGATGCACGACGCCATGGAAGCAGGTGATGGATTAGAAAAGGTAGCTAGGAGATATAATTAGATGCATGGTTTGGTGCAAGATGCGTACCTGGGTCTCTAGCCGTTCCCCTTACACGGTAGCCACGGAGGAGGAGCTCCTTCACCACCCGTGACCCAATGAAGCCCCCTGCTCCCGTCACACAAACTAGCACCCGCGCTCGCTGCTTCTCAGCGCTGCTGTTATTGGCCATGGAATACTGAGAGACTAAATTGGTTCTCTTTCCACTACACAAACAATCCTTGTGGGTTGCCGTGTATTTATAATGCAAGCTCATACCTGTGTCTCTATCTAACTTTATAAAGAAGCTAGGCAAGTGGGTATACGGTCTTGGTCCAGTGCTGCTATATAAGTACCCCAAAACTGCTACGGGAGAACAATCATAGGTTAAGCAAGTACTAAAGGGAGAGTCATGGAGCCTAACTTAGGGCAAGCCCTGGCCACCGTCCTCACGCTGCTGGTGACCATAAGGGCAGTATGGTATCTGATTTGGAGGCCGTACGCCGTGGCCAGGTGGTTCGCGCGGCAGGGCATCCGAGGTCCGCCTTACAGGTTCCTTGTTGGGTCCCTGCCAGAGTGCCATAGGATGCTTGTCGCCGGGAGAGCCAAGGCTCTGGACACCAGCTCCCATGACTGCATCACCACCGTGCAACCCTTCTTCCGGGAATGGGCCTCCCAGTATGGTAATTAATCAATTGAATGTCTATCTAACCACCTACGTAATCGATCGTTATATGGTGTGTAATATAAATACAATCCCATATCTATGTGCTGTGTAATTAATCAGGAAAAACATTCCTGTACTGGTTGGGCCCGACACCAGCCCTGTGTTGTACTGACATGGAGCTTGTGAAGCAAATGTTCACCGTCAGGACAGATGTGTTCCAGAAGGACTACTTGAACCCTAGCCTGGACTCAGTTTTTGGGAACGGGGTCATATTTGCAAACGGACAAGACTGGAAGCGACGCCGCAAATTCGTCCACCCGGCCTTCAACCAGGAGACGATCAAGGTTACTACTTAGTCACTACTACTTTTTTTTCATATCATTTTTAGTGAATCGGAAGAGAACATTACATATGTTTGAATGTTCGTTTTCAGTCCATGTCAGCAATAGCGTGGGACTGCACGCGGCAGACGATGGAACGGTGGTGCGTCCAGCTGCGAGGGCAGCAGCAAGCCGAGATAGACATGAGGTACGACTCCGACGAGATAGCCATGGGTGTCATTGCACAAGTGATGTTGGGCAAGGACCACGAGGAGGCCCGGGAGGTGTTCATCGCCGGAAGGGAGCAGCTGAAGATTGCCGCGTATGCGTCCGCGGATCCTCCCTTACCTGGATTCAGGTAGAAACTCGAAAGAGTAGCCAGAATGAATGAATCGATCGAAATTAATATTGGTTAATCCTAGGTACCTGCCGACACGTCGCAACCGTCGGATGTGGCAGCTCGACAAGCTTGTGACAAGCAAGATCTCACCCATCATGAAGGCGCGACTTGCCAGCAGCGTATACGAGGACGACCTGCTCGGGCAGATGCTGCAGCAGCAGGCATGTCGCAGTGGCAGCGGCGCCGAGACTCTGAGCACCCAGGAGATGATCGGCGAGTGCAGGACTCTGTTCGCCGCGGGGTACGAAACCAGCGCCAGCATCATTACCTGGGCGATGTTCCTGCTGGCAGGAGATGGTCAGGGAGGAGGTCGCCCGGGAATGTCCTGCTCACCGGCCACCCACGGTTGACGCCCTTGGCAAACTCAAGCTGGTACGCTATGCATATATATAGTACCAGTAAAATCTCATCCATGCATTATTGCAGTGCATATATACATCTAATAAGTGTCTGCCGTGGTGACTCCACTTGCAGCTTAACATGTTACTCTTGGAGACGCTGAGGCTATATTGCCCCATAACTTTCATACAGAGGAAGACCTCCTCGGGCACCATCCTCGCCAACATCGAGGTGCCAAAAGGAACGATCATGTCAATCCCGCTGCTGATGTTGCACCGGGACAAAGAGGTGTGGGGACCCGACGCCGACGAGTTTAACCCGATGAGGTTCCAAAATGGCGTCTCGGTGGACACCAAGCTTTCACGCTCGCTGCTGGCCTTCTCATATGGGCCGAGGGTCTGCGCCGGGCAGAACTTTGCCATGGTTGAGGTGCAGATCGTGATAGCCACCATCCTCAGGAGCTTCTCCTTCTCCCTGTCACCCACTTACGTGCACAAGCCCAGCAATTTCGTCACCCTGCTGCCCAGGTACGGGCTCCCTCTCATCGTCAGGAACTTACAGCAGCTGACTACTGGGTGATCTTCAGGAGCTCTCTCGATCTTCTGTGATGTTGTGATGTGTCATGTTCTACGCCCGCCTACTAGTAGTAAATAAACCCCAGCCACTTTGGCACATTATATACTTGTGACGCCATATGATTATGTCACCATTGTTGTTCATCCAAAGCTACATATATCAACTTATATGATGTGATATGTATGCAATGCGAAGCTTTGGAATATACTTATGATGCATGATTATACAGCA